TCCCCTTCTACCGCCTCTTCCCCTACCGCACTCCTTCTCTCCCCCCGCCACCGCACTTCCTTGTGCCAGGTCCCCCCCCGGTAGACCCCCTTCCCCCTCAGGGTCCTGCCCCTTCAGGTGTGTCCCAGGTAGACGCAGTCGAGCCGGTCGAGGTTGCTGGTGACTCTGGTCCTGCTGCGGGTGCTGAGCCTGGGGGTGCTGACTCTGGGGGTGCTACGCGCGTGGGTACTGAGCCTGGGGGTACTGCGACTGGGGGTGCTGAGCCTTGGGGTGCTGAGCCTGGGGGTGCTGAGTCTGGGGCTGCTGAGCCTGGGGGTACTGCGACTGGGGGTGCTGAGCCTGGGGGTGCGGAGTCTGGGGGTGCTGAGCCTGGGGATGCTGTGACTGGGGGTGCTGAGCCAGGGGGTGCTGCGTCTGGAGCTACTGAGCCTGGAGCTGCGGAGCCTGCGGCCACTGGACCTCCCCTTGTTGCGTCTGGCGGTGCGGGACCTGGCGGTTCTCCGGGTGCTTCGCCTCGGCGGGAGCCCCTCTCTCCACAGGAGCTGCGCGAGTGGTTTGCTCGCCGCTGGAGACGTACTGGTGGAGCTGGAGCTCCTTCGGCTGCTGAGGGTACTTGTGCCGCTGGTCCCGGAGCTGCTGGGCCCTCGGGTCCGCCTGGAGCTGGAGCTGCCGCTGGGTGTTGGTGCTGAGACTGCTGCTGTCCTTCCTGGCGGTGGTCCTGCTGCGGGTACTGCTGGTGCTGCTGGAGGTACTGGAGCTGGAGGTGCTGTTGGCGCTGGTGCTGCTGCTGAGGGTGCTGTCCCTGCTGTGTCTGGAGTCGCCGCGCGGCCTCAGGCCGTACTTCGTTCCACTCCTACAGCAGGTTCTTGGTCTTTCTCCTCCTGCAGCGTGTCCACAGCCTGTTCAGTCACAGTCCCAGTTAGAGCCCGCCTCCCCACTTCCTGCTCCCTCTCCTTACACTGGTCCCACTGGAGGTCTTGCTGAGCGTCGTGAGCCTGCGTCTCGTCCTGCGTCGCCTGTTCGTGCTGCTCGCGCTAGTGGTCGCGGTTCGCGTCAGCGTCCTCCTCCTGTCCCTGGCACGCACCGGATGTCTTTGCGTCCGTCCACTGCTCCTCTGCGTGCCCCTTTGCCTTCTCCTCCTGAGTCCTCCCTTCCTGCACTTACCGACCCAGAGTCCGACTCTCTTCGTGCTGCTAGTCCTACTGTCACACGTCTCCTTGCTACTGTCGTCACTGACCCCTCTTTTGAGTCCACTGCTGCGTCTGCTCTTGTTGCTGAGCTCGTCGACTTTGCTGCTAGCTGCCGTCTAGACTACGCTGCCGGTCTTGTTGCTGAGTCTGCGTCTGTCTGTCCTCCGTCCGTCGGGGGGTGAGTGTGCTCTTGGCACGGACGTCCTTGAGGACAGGCAGGAGGAGTTCCAGTGTCTGGCTGCTGCTTCACCTCATCTCGCGTCCGTACTACTTGCCCCTGAGGGAGACCCGGATGCACTAGACATCCCGACTCCGCGCTCTTACGCGGAGGCCGTAGAGGGTCCCTACTCCTCTCAGTGGCAGGCAGCTATGGATGCAGAGATGGCGTCCTGGAAGTCCACAGGCACCTACGTTGACGCGGTTCCCCCTCCTGGGGCGAACATCGTCAGTGGCATGTGGATCTTCAGGGTGAAGCGGCCGCCGGGCTCTCCACCTGTCTTCAAGGCGCGGTACGTCGCTCGTGGCTTCAGTCAGCGGCAGGGAGTTGACTACTTTCAGACCTTCTCTCCCACCCCGAAGATGACCACTCTTCGGGTGCTGCTGCACATAGCCGCTCAGCGCGACTACGAGCTCCACTCTCTTGACTTCAGCACTGCTTTCTTGCAGGGTAGCCTGCACGAGGAGATCTGGCTGCGCCGTCCACCTGGCTTCACTGGGACTTTCCCTACTGGCACCCAGTGGAGCCTCCGACGGCCAGTCTACAGTCTCCGCCAGGCACCGCGTGAGTGGCACGACACACTGAGGACTACGCTTACGGCTCTTGGGTTTGCTCCCTCTACGGCTGACCCGTCGTTGTTTCTGCGCACCGACACTTCTTTGCCGCCGTTCTACATCCTCGTGTACGTCGACGACTTGGTCTTTGCCACAGCTGACACTGCTGGACTAGCCTACGTGAAGTCCGAGCTGCAGAAGAGACACACGTGCACAGACCTGGGTGAACTGCGCAGCTACCTTGGCTTGCAGATCACTCGGGACAGAGCACGCCGCACCATTACTTTGACTCAGTCACACATGGTGCAGCAGGTCCTTCAGCGCTTCGGCTTCACGTACTCCTCGCCTCAGGCCACTCCTCTGTCTACTCGCCACTCGCTCTCAGCTCTGCCTTCGGATGAGTCCGTAGAGTCGAGTGGCCCGTACCCAGAGCTTGTTGGCTGCCTCATGTACCTGATGACCTGCACACGACCTGACCTTGCATACCCTCTTAGCATTCTTGCACGCTATGTTGCTCCTGGGAGACACCGACCAGAGCACATGGCTGCAGCGAAGAGGGTGTTGCGCTACTTGTGCAGTACGTCGGGCATGGGGCTAGTGCTTGGAGGGCGGAGTCCAGTGGTCCTCACTGGGCACGAGCGGACGCTTCTTGGGCTGACGACCAGGCTACGCAGCGGTCGTCGCAGGGTTACACCTTCAGTCTTGGTTCCGGCTCTGTCTCGTGGCGGGCTACTCGCTCGTCCTCTGTTCTCCGGCTCCAGTTGTGAGGCTGAGATCTACGCCGGGGCCATGGCTGCACAGGAGCTTCGCTGGCTCACCTACTGCTGACTGACCTTGGAGAGCCGCCTCGTTCTCCTCCAGTGCTGTACGTAGATAACAAGGCCATGCTGGCCTTGTGTCGAGAGCAGCGCTTGGAGCACAGAACGAAGCACATTGCTCTCCGTTACTTTCTTGCTCGTGAGCTGCAGCAGCGTGGTCAGTTGCGACTTGCGTACGTGGCCTCTGAGGCCAACACTGCTGATGTGTTCACCAAGGCACTTGCGCCTTGTGACCATCAGCGCTTCTGCACTCAGCTGGGTCTTGTACCTGTCTTGCCTCACTTGCTCTCCTCTTGACCTTGCTTGTACTGTCACATATATATACCTGCTCTTCCTTGTCTAGCTCTATATATATATGTGCACTCCTGCATGTGAACTGGCCTTGTGGCCTTGTCGTTGTGCTCGGACTGTGTGGTGACTTTGTGATCCACCCTGAGCTTGTTGTGCTTTGCGTGACTGGTCTTGTGACCCCTTGTTCTCCCCACTTTGCCTATGGGGGTGTGTCAGAACATACATATAGCTTATGCTGTTGTGTAGGCTATAGTGGGGTATCCCATAGGGGGTACAACCCAATTAGGGTTTCCTATATGTACTCACTTCATTCATAGTTCATCATTCTTGTTCAAATCTTCTCAGTAACCCGCGCTTCCGGGCCTCCGCCTCGACATTTTCCCAACCTCAGTTCCAGGCCCGTCGCGCGTCAACCACAGTTCATTACCGTTACCACTGTAGATTCGCTATATATTCTTCGCTCATGCCTTCGCTCATTGTACTCTTGCTTCGATAGTGCAATTCTCGTTCGATCACTTAATTGCACTCGTAACAGTGGTTCACATTCGGAACTCGTCTGATGGCTGAAAAAACGAAAAACACATACCGTAACTTATAACTTTCCAAAACAATGCAAAAAAACTTGAGTAATCAAGTTGGACCCAACTAGAACGAGGGGGTCACCATTTTAGCTACGGGCTTTAATATGGTCGGAGATACACCGACAATGGAAGTTGACGATACGCTGAAATTAACATGGTAATGAACTTGAAGGTAACACGGCCTTGGAATGCATGGCTGAGCCTGATGCTTGTTGCCTGATAACTGGAGAGACCGAGGTCAGCATAAATTACCAGACTTCCATTTCGAATGTTAAAGACGATACTGTTAAGAAGATCAGAACTCGGCGTGCATTGTAGCGAGGACGTTGACTTGTTCAAGCTCGTCAGAATCCATGGCCGCCAGATGGCGGAAAAGGCGGAGAGCATTGCAGGCAAGGCTTTCGTGGTGTGTGATGGACCCGATAGAGCTGTTACAATCCTCGCCGTGGTGTGATCCTTCAGAATCCGGTGTGTTTTATGGAGTGCTTGTAATGATGTATTGAGCCCATATGTAAGGCGTTTTTTCAGTTTTACACATCTGATTCCACCGCGTACAACACCGTTCATGGGCTAAACTTTTCTTTGCCAACATTCCATTCCTCTTCACTTCTCCACGAACCAAGCCACTCCAACGCGTTCCTCCTCACAACACTCCCATTTGTGCGGGGTGAACTTGGGTCCGAGGGGTGGGAACACCCCCAGACCATCCCAATCCGAACCGAGCCAGGGTCCGGACGTCAGTATGGTTACGGGTTTCGCAAATGCTCGTGAGAGGACTGGCAGAATTTTGGCGATGTCGCCATCATCCGGACCTTAGATAGTGACATGACAATGAATGGGCCCTTACTGTGAGGTGTCTGACTTTCCTCCAATAAATCCTTGTGACGCGATTCTTCATCCCAGTCGTTTTTGCTTTCGCACACAGCCAGGAAACGCCCAATCGAAGCCCACGATGGCGCCTAAAGCAACGCGTTCCCTGCAGCAGCTCCTGTCGCAGCGGTCGCACATGGCCAAGGCTTTGCCGCGCCCGTCGCGGGCTGCGTCCCGCCACAGAGGTCCCTCCAGCCTCGCACAGGAGCTCCGTGGAGCGGATGATGCGCCGCACGCTAGTAGGCTCGCTGCGATGAGCATTTAAGCATCCGTGCCCGATCGTTCTCGTCACCTCTTCTGCTTTACACCAGTTAGCACCAATCACTCCTCTAGCACCTCTTTCTCTCGGGTTGCTCCGCTGCACACTCCTGCTCTACTCCGATCGTTCTCGTCACCTCTTTCTCTCGGGTTGCTCCGCTGCACACTCCTGCTCCACTCCTGCTCTCGGATTGCTCGTGGCGATCAAGGTCGAAGAGCGAATGGCGTCCGCCGGAATCAGCAGCATGGGGAATGGCAAGGCCGTGCGTGCGCTGCTCGCCATCGTCGCCGTCATCGCCGGTACGCTCCGTCATTCGCTCCGCTCTCTCGCCCCGCGCTCTCATGCGCCATCGTGCTCACGCCGTCATGCGTTCAATGCACCACTCGACAGCGCGCACACGCGATGGATGCCCAACGAACTCGCTCCTTCGTCCGTGCCCCTCCCATGCCACATGCCGCTCCCTTGCAGCGTGTCTCCCCCAGCCGTCGCAAGCAGCAGCAGCAGCGAGCGTGTCGGTCCCAGTGCCGATAGGCACGCCGATGACAATCAACGGGCGCACATTCAAATTCTCGCCGCGCCGCTGTGTCAACCTTCCCGCCATGTCGCCGTCTCAGAAGGCGCGGGTGGTGGTGCCGTGGCAGCAGGCGAGCATGTCTGGCAAGGCTATGTGCCGCGCGATCTGGTTCTTCCAGGATCCCGCGTGCAAAGGACAGACGTTGGACGTTTTCGTGAATGGCCAACAGAGGTGCGCCTTCCATTCTTGCTCGCCTTGCTTCCATGCTCCCTATGCTCTTGATGCCGCTCGTTTGCTCCCCCACCTGATCAACGATCGTTTGCACTCGTGGCGCCCTCCCTCCCCCTGTGTGCAGTGAGAAGCGCATCTCCGGTGCAGCAAGGTCCGCCCTCTGCCTCGTAGGTGCGTGCGTCCCCTCTTGCCCTCTCTCGCGCCCGCCTCTCGCGAGAAGCCGCCCTCTCTCTCTCTCTCGCTGGCCTCGCGCTCTCACTGCACAGTCCAGTTCGCTGCGCTGCAGAGCGCACGACGCGAGTGGGTGGCAGGCTGCCGCGCCTCATCTCTGCATTCGCCTTCCCCCTTTCCCCCCTTCCCCGTTCCCCCTTTCCCCCGGTCCGCACGGCGCTGTGCGGCAGACAACATGTGTCGGTATGCGCGCTGCCCTGCCGGCTCTGACACATGCACCCCACCCACGGACGACCGCACGGCAGTGACGTGCGCGTGCAAGAAAGGCTACAGCGCGGTCAACAACAAATGCCAGCCTCCCAGTGAGCTTCGTATGGTTTCGCTCCGCTCAGCATGGTCTCGTTGCCGCAACTCTCTCCTCCTCCGCCCTCCCTCGCCTGCTCTGCTCTCTCTGAATGCTTCCTTGTCCGGATGGACCCATGTGCTCACCTGGCCTCCCTCTCTCTCTCCTTGCCTCTGCTGCAGAACCCTCGTGCCTCACTGCAGGCTGCCCTGCCAACTCCGAGTGTGCCAAACGCACCAGTGGCACTGGAATGGAGTGCAAGTGTAAGGCGGGCTACAATGCAGTCGGTGCCACCTGTGTGCCAGCAGCAAAACCTGGCACCACCACAACCCCGTCCGGCACCACCACAACCCCGTCCGGCACCACCACAACCCCGTCCGGCACCACCACAACCCCGTCCGGCACCACCACAACCCCGTCCGGCACCTCCACAACCCCGTCCGGCACCACCTCAACCCCGTCCGGCACCACCACAGCTTCGTCCACCACAACACCTTCAAGCGACGCTTCAGAATCTTCCAGCAACATTGCAGAATCTTCAAGCGACATTTCAGATTCTTCCAGCAACGTTTCAGGACCTTCCAACTACGTGTCAGAAATTCCTCCTAGCTACGTTTCAGACTCTTCCAGCAACGCGTCAGATTCTCCTATCTACACGTCAGAATCTCCCAACTAAACTCCAGAACCTTCCAGCGGTGGCAACTCCGTACCATCCTATTCCTCTACTTGCGCCAAGCCAAATCAGTCGCCACATCTGAGAAGAGTTGAGGGACGTATTGCGTAGGGACAGGGATTGGTTGCTGTTGCTGTGCTTCTCAGACAGGTTGGAGAGTTAGTTGGTGAACTGTTCTCGGGAAGGTCGTTGAGCAGGTGCCAGGCAGGATAGCTGGCAAGTTCTCAAGAAGAATAGAAGCAACCAATCTGGTATCATAGCAGCACTGCGTGTTATCAGACCCTCCCTGTCCGGGCTGGTTAGATTTCTCCTGTTCGCACCCCCACTTCTCCCCTTGTTTTCTCTTTCTAGGTTTGTTGTAATCTTTGTTTTACCCATCTAAATATTTGTTTCTGGATCTTGTTGCAATTCTACACATGTGGTTTCAAATCATAGAGATGACCCTGCTTTTGACCTTTGTTTCTGGTGGCTTCCATCAATTCACTCTAGTTTTCACTACTGTCAGCACCATCACTTAGGAGCGTGATCAGCCATTTTCAATTTGCTGTTCGTAGCTATACCAGATTATATCATTACACAACATTCTAACCTTGTTTGTATTTGAACCAATAAGCGATCTTGGCGATATTTTGGCGAAGTCACCATTAGTGGCTGCATGCAAGGGAATCACCAGCAATTGTTGTTGTCAGATTCTTGCGATAGAGACTGTCCATATCGGAGACATTCGATTGCCTCGCGTCGCGTCACTTGTGTTTGTGTGTCCCGCGCCCTCAGAACAGAACGCTTGTCTGGCATCACATCGGAATTATTGTTGTGAATGGGGTCTTTACAAGATCCGAAGTCAGCGGGAATGGGCCCTTCCGTCCTGGTGTCCACAATAATTTTGCCGAGCACGACCCTCGTTCCACTCCCCCATTTTTTAGCAAACATTGTGCTGACATTGAATGTGGATCCTAAGTGTTGCGGAGAGACCTAACATTTTCGACTTCAATAATTATGTCCAATAAATCCATTTCCATTTCTGTTTTCGCCAGCGTTGTCACCTTCGCACACACCTCAGGAAACGCTTATTCCAAGGCGCGCTGGCGACTAAAGAAACGCGTTCCCTGCAGCGACTCCTGTCGCAGCGGTCGCACATGGCCAAGGCCTTGCCGCGCCCGTCGGGAGCTGCTTCCCATCACAGAGGCCCCTCGTCGCGCAGAAGCTCCGTGGAGCGGATGATGCGCCGCACGCTAGTAGGCTCGCTGCGATGCCCATTTAAGCACCCGTGCCCGATCGGCCTCGTCACCTCTTCCGCTTTACCAATCACTAGTAGCACCAATCATTCATCTAGCACCTCTTCCCGTCGGAGTTGCTCCGCTGCACATCTGCTACTACTCGAGCTATTGGAATTACTCGTGTCGTTCAAGGGTGAAGCTTGAGCACCATCCGTCCACCGGAGAAGCGGCAGCATGGGGAATGGCAAGGCCGTGCGTGCGCTGCTCGCCATCGTCGACGTCATCGCCGGTACGCTCCGTCATTCGCTCCGCTCTCTCTCGCCGTCGTCGTGCGTGCGTGCTCCCATGCGCATCATCGAGTCCACGCCGCAATGCGTTCAGTTCCATGCTCTCATGCGCCACGGACCACACCACAGTGCTCTCATGCGCACGCAATGCATTTCCAATGAACACGCCCATGCCTCCGTGACCCTCCCATGCCACGTGTCCCTCCCTCTCTTGCAGCGTGTCTCCCGCAGCCGTCGCTCGCAGCGGAAATCCCATCGGCCCCAGCGAGGATTGCCACGCAGATGACTATCAACGGCCGTCCTTTTAGCTTCGAGTCGCGCCGCTGTGTCAACATCCCCGCCATGCCGGGTGCAGTCAAGGCTCGCGTGGAAGTCTCTCGACAGCAGGGAAGCGATGCTGGCAACGCTGCTACGTGCCGCGCAATCCGGTTCTTCCAGGATCCCGCGTGCACAGGCCAGACGCTGGACCTTCTCCCCATCATCGGCACACAGAGGTGCGCCTTTTATCCCTGCTCGCATTGCTTCCATGCTTTGAACGCCGTTCGGTTGTTCCCCACCAGACGCTGGACCTTCTCCCCATCATGGGCGCACAGAGGTGCGCGGCACGCCTTCTATTCGTGCTCGCCTTGCTTCCATGCTCGCCTTGCTCCCATGCTCGCCTTGCTCCCATGCTCGCCTTGCTCCCATGCTCGCCTTGCTCCCATGCTCGCCTTGCTCCCATGCTCGCCTTGCTCCCATGCTCGCCTTGCTCCCATGCTCGCCTTGCTCCCATGCTCGCCTTGCTCCCATGCTCGCCTTGCTCCCATGCTCGCCTTGCTCCCATGCTCGCCTTGCTCTTAACGCCGCTCGGTTGCTCCCCCACCTGACCAACGACCCGCGCACCTCGTGGCGCCCTCCCTCCCCCTGTGTGCAGTGTCAAGTATGTTCCCGGTGTAGTGACGTCCGCCCTCTGCCTCACTGGTGCGTCCCCTCTTGCCTTGCCCCTCCTCCATTCCGCTCACCGCAAACTCCTCTTCCTCTCTATCGCACTCTCTCCTCTCTCTCTCTCTCTCTCTCTCTCTCTCTCTCTCTCTCTCTCTCTCTCTCTCTCTCTCTGTATATATATATATATCTATCTCTATCTCTATCTCTATCTCTCACTCTCACCCTCACCCTCACTGAACGCTACCCTGACTGGATGGACCCACGAGCTCACCTGCCCTCTCTCCCTCTCTCTCTCGCCCTGCCTGTGCTGCAGAAACCTCACCACCTGCCACCGGCACCACCGGCACCACAGCACCTTCCGGCAACATTCTGGAATCCGCCAACTCCGTTTCAGAGTCTGCCCGGGCCATGCTGGAATCCACCCTTGGCGTTACAGATCCTGGTACCGGCACCGCCATTTCAGGGGTTTCTAATGCCTCTATCGATCCTAGTACCGGTAACAACACTGGCGAAGGACCTGCCGCCACTGACGCTGCAGTTCCTGTGGTCTTCACTCCAGGCACTTTCACCAACGATGCAGTGAATCCCACCAAATCCCCCGAACCTTCCGTGAACGCGTATGACACTTACACTACTGCTGCCACCGTGCCGGGCTACTGAGCTGAGCTGAGCCAACGGAGGTAGGAATGAGGTGTGCAAAGTGATCGCCACAGCGCAGAATAAATGAGGGATATACCACCGTATTGTGTAGTTCGCGAAGGTACAGTCCTTCCTTGGTGGCTGAGCAGAGTGCGATATATTCTGCTTCAGCTGAAGAGAGGGCGATTAATTCCTGTTTGCTTGACTGCCAGGAGATAGGACCGATAGGCTCGAAGCGGTAGATGTAGCCGGTGCGGGAGCGCCTGTTGTCGGAGTCGCCGGCGTGATCGGCGTCGACGTACCCGATTAGCTTAGGCGTTATAGTTGTGTTCTTATGGTAGGTCAGGCCGATTGTCGGGGTGCTAACGAGGTAGTGAAGAGCGCGGTCGAGCTCCGCCAGATGTTCCGCTTCGGGTTTCTTGAGGTAGGTGGCGAGCTGGCTTACATAGTACGATAGGTCCGGGCGGCAGGTGACAGCTGCGAAGAGGAGGCATCCCAGTTTCCTCTGGTAGTCGCGTATGCCGGCGGGGTTGAGTAGAGCGGAGCTTTCCTTGTGGTTTCCTGCCGTGTAGCGGTATGGCGTGGAGATGACGGTCGGTGTGAGTGCGAAGTGCTTGGCGATGGTATCGGCGTATTTCCCGGCGCTGAGGTAGATCGCATCCTCCTCTTCCCGTATGTTGAGCCCGAGATATTGCGTGACGGTAGATGAGACTGTGAGTGTAAGGTCTTGCTGCAGCTCCCCTTCGAACCAGGTAGTGACGCTGTCGGTTGAGCCGATGTAGAGCAAATCATCTACGTAAACGATTAGCAAGATGTAGTCGGTGCCCTTTGTGAGCCGGTACATGCCTTGGTCGTGAGGTAGTTGGCGGAATC